CAATTTCATGTCTCTCCTGTCCCTAAATTTGCAATTTATACATTTCTACTAACAGCTTATTCAGTTTTATGCTAATGTAACTAATGATTTAAAAACATTTGAAAATCAATTTTAAGACTAAGATTGAAAAGGCATGTTTATGTATTTCTATTAAATTTCTACCTAACGGTATGTGAATAGTCCCTTGCATATCATAGTGAGCTATATCTTTAAGCAAAAGCATAAATTATCTTTTTCTAAAACCTGATTCAGAACTCACTGCCTCTAGGAAATCTTGGGGGATTGATTTTTGGTGCACATTTTTTAACTTTCATCACCACCTCAGAATTTAGTCATTTCGTGCTTTTATTAGTTACACCTGCTATTTAGCAGCAAGAAGGAGCAGCACAAGTTTGTCATTAGTCTTTAACACAAACCTTCCCTCTACCATACAACTGCAAATACACAGAGAATTCTACCACTGATCACTCCAAGGGCCATCACTCTGGTAAACATATGGTAACTTACTAGATTGAATGTTCTTTTTGGGTAAAAATATCCTGTCCGTTATATTGAGTCCATTATAGAACCTAAAGAGAGCACATTTTATAGACTTATCATGCCCTCCCTCAAGCTCAAGGCAATCCTGATTTGGACAGTTTTAGTAGCAAAGTGGAAGACGAGAAATACTGTGGTTACCAGGGGGCAAAAACTTTGGAACTTTCTCTGAAAGAAAGAGAGCTCAAGGTGTTGGGGAAGAGACTGACTAGCTTCTGATGAATTCGTGCAGTGCCACTCCTGTGGATTCTCCGTGGAGCTGAGGTTTCACTTCTCTTGAAGCTGGTAGTAAAATATTTCAGCTATTTGTAAGGTGGGACACATTCCTGCAGCTGAGGGCAGATTATTGTTAAAAGAATGATCAAGTGGGACAGCATGAGCCTGTAGACTTCAGGGGGAGGGTTGGCTTAGCATGTCCATGCCACATTTCACCTCTGAGCTGCTCAGACACATGGATACAACTAGATGGGGCTCTTTTGTCAGATCTCTCATTTGTGGTGGTTGACTCCTTTGCTACATTTATCAGAAGAGCATTTTCTTTTAGCCAAGTGTTCCCAGATCGATAATGACATAGCATTATTGATTACTCTCTATTTTTCTATGCATGTATGATGAAAAACTCCCCATTGTCTGTACTTTCTTATGTATGTATTCCTTCCATGAAATATCAATCTTTCTGTGATCCACATACACAGAGAATTTGCATTTTTTCCTTTGTGAATCTTTTCATAAGCTGTTGATCCTTCTGTGTTCCCATTGGACAATGAAATATTTGATGAATGATGGACAATTAAGAAAATGGGGGTATAGTATTTCTCTTCTGGGCAACACTGTAAAGCCAAAGATCCTATATTGCAATCTGACACTAGATTTGAACTCATACCCACCGTTATTGGAACCCTAATTCTTTCAACTACCAAACTAGTGGCCCTTGACAATGTTTTTTAAGATTTATTTATTTATTTGAAAGGCAGATTTACAGAGAGGCAGAAGTAGAGAGCTAGAACGATCGAAAGAGAGAGAGAGGGAGAGAGGGAGAGAGAGAGAGAGAGAGTCTTCTATCTGCTGGTTCTCTCCCCAAATGGCTGTGATGGCCCATCTGAAGCCAGGAGCCAGGAACTTCCTCCAGTCTCCCACATAGGTGTGGGGCCCCAAGGACTTGAGCCATCTTCTACTGCTTCCCCAGGCCATAGCAGAAAGTTGGATCAGAATTAGAGCAGCCAGGACTTGATCTGGCACCCATATGGGATGCCAGTATTGCAGGCGGTGTCTTTATCTGCTATGCCACAGCACTGGCCCAGCCTTTGACATTTTTAAACCAAAAAATTGTCCTTGTTTAAAGTAACACAGAATGAATCTGCTGATCAGGATGGAGTGTGAATTTTTTGGGATCTTGACATGAATGTGTTTCCCAGTAGGGCTCAGCGTATAAACAGAATCAGTAGGTATGGACTACAGCATTCTGGTATGACAGGGGCAGGGGTTAAAAGACTCGTTCATGGGGCAAGTGCTGTGGCATAGTGGGTAAAGCCACCGCCTGCAGTGCCGGCATCTCATATGGGTGCTGGTTTGAGTCCCAGCAGCTCCACTTCCCATCCATCTCTCTGCTATAGCCTGGGGAAGCAGTAGAAGATGGCCCAAGTCCTTGGGCCTCTGCACCCACGTGGGAGACCCAGAAGAAGCTCTGGCTCCCGGCTTTGGATTGGCACAGCTCTGGCCGTGGTGGCCAACTGGGGAGTGAACCAGTGGATGGAAGACCTCTCTCTCTCTGCTTTTCCTCTCTCTGTGTAACTCTGACTTTCAGGTAAATAAATAAATCTTAAAAAAAAAAAAAGACTTTTTCATTACCAAAGAACACAATAGATAACTGGAGACCAGGATCCCAGATACAAGATTTTAACTCAACAAAAGGAGTAAAGAAGGAAGTGAGTATGAAGGAGAGGACTCTGTCACTTCAGGGGCCTTTAGTACCCGTGACTGTAAGCCCAGAGATGTGACCTAGAAGAGAGATAGCCAGTGAAATCCAGAAATGAAAAAGCTGTCTGTTAAGGCTGTTCAAATAGGTTGAACATTATCTACAAGTTATCCTGAAACATGAGATGGCCAGACCCTAAACTGCTTAAGACAGACATTTACAAATGACCAAAAGCATAGCTAGTATCCATCCTTCCCCTTTCCCTGCAATCTCTTGTCTTATAACTCCCTGCTCAGCATTCCTCTTTCCAGACCCACCTGGACCACTGGGACCACTGTGATCCTAGACTTCCAATGGCGAATCCAAAGCAAACTCTAAAGAAACAACAGTTTCTTTTTTTTTTTTTATAAAAGATTTATTTATTTATTTGAAAATCGGAGTTATACAGAGAGAGGAGAGGCAGAGAGAAAGAGAGAGAGAGGGAGAGAGGGAGGGAGGGACGGAGGGATTGATCTTCCATCCGCTGGTTCACTCCCCAATTGGCCGCAACGGCTGGAGCTGCGCTGATCTGAAGCCAGGAGCCAGGAGCTTCTTCTGGGTGTCCCATGCAGGTGCAGGGCCCAAGGACTTGGGCCATCTTCTATTGCTTTCCGAGGCCATAGCAGAGAGTGGGATCAGAAGTGGAGCAGCTGAGTCTTGAACCTGCACCCATATAGGATGTCAGTACTTCAGGCCAGGGCGTTAATCTGCTGTGCCACAGCGCCGGCCCCAAGAAACAACAGTTTCAACAATTCTTCCATATGGAATGGTCGTATAAACAAAGGAGGCCTTCTTAGCTAGTCTAGCCTCAGAGCTGTGTCAGGAAATGGGTGTGGTCAGCCACGGCTTATCAAGTCCTCCAGAATGCACAGGGTCAGCTACTGCTGCTGATACAGGCAGCTGAAACCAATCCAAGAAGAGTAGTTCTGAGCTTAAAGGCCAGGAGTGAGCCCGCGGGGTACAACTCAAGGAGGAAATTTCATACTGAAAATCTTGTGTGGGTGACAGAAGAGTGAATGTGGCAGAAACAGGGGGAGTTTGGGGCTTTTTGCAATAGCTCACAGATATGGTTTTATAGACTCTTAGTTTCCAGGAATAAGACTGAAAGGAAACAAAAAACATGAGCAAGATGAAAGGGGAATGAGCCAGATTCATACACAGCCTTCTCTCTTGTTATCTCTACCAAATGAACCAGGAAAGAGGATAATTTAGTACCTCCATTTAACCACCACCGACAGTGTTAACTTGAACAGTCAGTGTTTACTGTAAAATATGTACTTGGTAACTGAAGTTGACATTGACCTTGGCAGTGTTACTGAATGATTCGCTACCTTTCTCCAACGATTCTCTTCCTTGAAAAAAATCTCATTTCTCTACCAGAAAACTTCATTCTTTCCTTCCCCAAGTCCTTTCTCAGAAGCTTGCCAAAAGAGATTTTGAACTTCAAAGAGCTATTTTTAATAAAATATAGCAAACATATCACTAAATAGAAATAAAAAGAAGTTATGATATAGAGCACATTTTGATAGCTATGATGACACTTACTATATTGGTTTTTCTTTCTTCTTCTTCTTTTTTTTTTTTTTTTTGACAGGCAGAGTAGACGGTGAGAGAGAGAGACAGAGAGAAAGGTCTTCCTTTTCCGTTGGTTCACCCTCCAAAGGCTGCTGTGGCCGGTGCACTGCGACCAGCGCACCACGCTGATCCGAAGGCAGGAGCCAGGTGCTTCTCCTGGTCTCCCACGCGGGTGCAGGGCGCAAGCACTTGGACCATCCTCCACTGCACTCCCGGGCCACAGTGGAGAGCTGGACAGGAAAAGGAGCGACCGGGACAGAATCCAGCGCCCCGACTGGGACTAGAACCCAGTATGCCAGCGCCGCAGGTGGAGGATTAGCCTATTGAGCTGCGGCGCCGGCACTATATTGGCTTTTCATATGAATAATGTTTATATATGTATATATACAAATGTGTACATCTATATATATATACATTTATATTCTCATTATTTAAAAAAGCTGAATTGTATATATTTTAAATATTAATTGACATAAAAAACTAACAGCCACTGAACAATGGACAATAATTACTTGAGGCCATTCTCTTCGAGGCAGGTACTTGGGGCATCAGTTAAGATGCTGCTAGGATGCCTGCTTTCCGTATTGGGAGGCCTGGTTTTGAATCCTGGCTCCACTTCTAATTCCAGCTTCCTATTGATGTGCACTCTAGGAGAAAGCAGGTGACGGCTCAAGTAGTTGGGGTCCTGCCAACCACTTGGAAGACTCAGATTGAGTTCTGTGCTCCTGTTTGGCAGGCCTGGCTATTGTAAGTATTTAGGGAATGAACCAGCAGATGAAATCTCTCTCTCTCTTTCAAATAAATTTTTCAAAATATAAAAATTTAAAATTACATACTTTAATATGATGAAAGAATAAATAATACACAAGAGTTTGTTAAAATACTGTTTATTTTATAAACTTTTGTAAAAACCTTATACTTGTGTACCCTCGGTCTATGAAAACCATAAACTGCAGAACACTATTTCTGATAAAGTACTATAGTTATAGGTGAAAGAAAAATCTTCTCATAAGTTGTTTATTACTGTTTTCTACTAAAGCAACTTTACAAGCCACCCCCAAGAGTCTGAAGACGAATGGTTAGAGAGAATAGAGTGAGGTGGAGATGTTCAGGCATACTTTTGTAGGCAGGCCAGAGGCGAGCATTCCTGAGCAGTTGAACTCCAGGTTGAACTCATTGTCTTCAGCTAAGTTGCTACTTGCAGCTTTTTGTGGTTTAAGCCAAGGACATTTGTGAGCCAGACTGACCCATGTGCTGAGTACTTGCCGTTCATGCTATGCTCTTCCAGTGTCTTTGTGAAATGAAGCAATATTTCTGACAGCTGTTAAAAACATGTGAAGCAGCCTTCAGCTGTGAAAGGTAACTGAAATGTCTCTGATGAATCTACGCTGAGGTTGCTGTCTAGGTTGTGAAGGAAGATGCCATCTACATTGTAGAAGCAGGTTAAGAACTGAGAAGCAAGAATCGCTGAAGGTGTTCCCAAGTCATTGTAAATTTATGTCTGGGTTTCTTTTTTTTATCAGTTTGATATTATTAATAAGTGTTTCAGTGAAAGTCTTCTTTAAATATCCAGGTTCTTCGCAGTTTTCTACAAAAAATTGTAATGAAGAGTTCAAGAAGTTGTGATCCCAGAGGCCAGCAGAGTGTTGATAGCAGAAAAAGTGAGGGCTCCCCAAGGGAAAAGTCGATCAGAGGACTGGAGTTGGGGACACTGGTTTCTATTGCCCCTTCAAGAGAAGACTCTAGTGATCTGGTATCAGGCTTAGGGTTTGATTTTACTGGATGCAGCAATAGCTTTCCTTCTTGTTCCCAGATAGTGTGGTGCAGCATGCTAGGTCCTTGGAACACAGAATAAACAAGATACAGTCATTATCCCAAAGGTGGTGAAATTTTCTTGATTGATTTGACATTCCTTTTTCAAAAAATTATTTGAGAGGCTGGGAGAGAGGGCACTCCTATCCAGGCATCAGCTGACTCCCTCCCCAGATGCCCACAATGACTCCCAAACCTCAGCTAGGGAGAGGGCAAGGTAGAAAGAAATGTAATCTGGATCTCCAATGTTGGTGGCAGGAACCCAACTACTTGAACCGTCACTGCTCCCTCCCAGGGTCTGTACTAGCAGGAAGCTGAAATCAGGAGATAGAGTAGGGAACTGAACCAAGTTACCCCAGTGTTTTCACTCTGCTATCTTTTTTTTTTTTTTTTTTTTTTTTTTTTTTTTTTTTTTTGACAGGCAGAGTGGACAGTGAGAGAGAGAGACAGAGAGAAAGGTCTTCCTTTGCCGTTGGTTCACCCTCCAATGGCCGCCGCGGCCGGCGCGCTGCGGCCGGCGCACCGCACCGATCCGATGGCAGGAGCCAGGAGCCAGGTGCTTTTCCTGGTCTCCCATGGGGTGCAGGGCCCAAGCACCTGGGCCATCCTCCACTGCACTCCCGGGCCACAGCAGAGGGCTGGCCTGGAAGAGGGGCAACCGGGACAGAATCCGGCGCCCCGACCGGGACTAGAACCCGGTGTGCCGGCGCCGCTAGGCGGAGGATTAGCCTAGTGAGCCGCGGCGCCGGCCTTCACTCTGCTATCTTAAATGCTAGGCCAGACATCTGTCCAGCCAAACTTTGATGATCAAGGGAATTTTGATTTGAAGGACATTTGTTATGCAGCTATTTCAAAATATGAAATGATTATCTCAAAGTAGCAATAATGGTCACCATAAAACCCATCCTAACCTCTGATCCTCTTCCCACTCCACATTGTTCCATACTCAGAAATGAGATGGGGCCAAAAGTGAGGGAATGGCAATTATTTTTACTGTTAAAAGCTTAAAATGGGTCTGGTGCTGTGGCACAGCAGGTTAACGCCCTGGCCTGAAGCGCCAGCATCCCATATGGTTCGAGTCCCAGCTGCTCCACTTCCAATCCAGCTCTCTGCTATGGCCTGGGAATACAGAAGATGGCCCAAGTCCTTGGGCCCCTGCACCCACGTGGGAGACCTGGAAGAAGCTCCTGGCTCCTGGCTTTAGATCGGCGCAGCTCCGGCCGTTGAGGCCATCTGGAGAGTGAACCATCAGATGGAAGACCTCTCTCTCTCTCTCTCTCTCTCTCTCTGCCTCTCCTCTCTCTGTGTAACTCTGACTTTTAAATAAATAAATAAATCTTTTTAAAAAAAGATTAAAATGTAATAGCTGGTTACTAAAGCATGCAAATATGTTGTAAATGACTGTTTCAATGTAACTACATGTAAATAAATAACTACATTAAATTGTAAGCAGAAAACTTTCTTAGTTTCCTAAAACTTATAGGCTTCAATAGAAAAAAGCAACTTTCAACTGAGTATCTGGGCTGTTTGGTAGGAATTATCCAGAGTTGTGGTTTCCAGCAAGTGCTATTGTCTACTGCAAATAGTATTAGGTCTAGACTCAACTAACCAAGAGAAGCAAGTATCACCCACAATTTATCTTGCTTGATTTGATAAGGATCCTAGGTGAGACTAGAAACTGATTTGTTGACTTGGCCAATAATTTCTGCAGGGTTACTTTTTGCCTAGATGTTGAAATTCTGATTTAGATGCTAAAATATATTTGTCCCTCTTTTGAATCCATTACACCAAGGCACACACTCTGATTTGTACACACATGTCTGGACATGTCCTGTATTAAACTCAGTGACCCTGACAGTTCTTCTGTTTAGGGAGATGTGATATTCCTGTCAAACTTCTCATCTTTCCAATGCAGCAATCTGCCTTGTGTGAGTTGAGGAACATTAGTGTCCTGAGTTTTCAGAAAGCATTTCATGGAAAACAGTGCTCACTGGTTAAATGACTTTAGCACACTTTCCTCTAAATTATGTGGAATGGATTCATTTACTCTAATACTTCTCAAAACTTTGAATAAGAAAGAGAGGGTAGTGAATGAGCTCTGAGTCTTAATTGAGAATTAACTCTGTCCCTTAGTCACTTTGACCTTGAGCAAAATATTGAAATCTTTCAAGAATATTATGCACTTATCTGTAAAATGAGAATACAAATATCTATGTCACAAAACTGATTAGTGCATTAAAAAAGATCAAATTCTAAAGCAGTATTTTGGCCAATTTTTAGATGTATTTTGTATCATCATGATTCTATCCAATTTAGAATATATCTTTGGCATACCAAAAACATAATCCTAATTTTAATGCACAAACAAAGCAACAGTCTTGTTGTTGGTTTTTAATTCTACTTAATCATTCTATTATATACCCCACTGAAATCACACAGCAAGTCTCCAGGAATTATCTGAGCACTTCATAGCCTTTTTTAATGTCACCTTTGGATTATACTGGTCATTGATTTTTCTATTGGAATTCTATAGACCTTTAAATGGCCCTGCACTAATGACGCCAAGGTGTTTTAAAATATTGGAAGGGTAAACCTATTCTCCCCACAAACAATGCATACTCTGGCTAAGGAGCTGAATCTCATCAGAGGCACTGTCCTTTGTTCTCATATTACAGGGAGACTAGCTGAGCTGCATCATTTGCTACTCAAGAGTCATCAGGATATCTGAGCTCTGAGTTTCCTTATTTATTGTCAGATCATCCATCTTCATCAGAGTGCAATAAATATCCCTGTAGAGGTCACTATCTTGGAGATACCTCAGGTGTTAGTTTCAGCTCAAGAAGAACTTGGAGTAAATCATATCTTTTCTGCTCTTTAGAATCTTTCCAGTCTGTTTCATAAGAGATCACATTTCAGTAGTAAAGCATGCTTTTAAAATAGTATTTGGTAAGCATGCCCTCAGCAAAAAAAAGAAAAAAAAAAGAATTGTGACTGTAGATAAGAAACCTAGTGATACACTATGGTTCACCTCAGCTTTCTCTTGCTAAACCATTAAGTGTTACCATCTTCAAAGTTATCATAGTGAGGGTTTGAAGGCTGGGAACATATAAGTCTGATTCTTTTTCTACATAAGAGACTATATGAGATATGAAACATAGGTAAAAGCTAAATAAAGTAATTTTTGTTCCCTGTTGGACAATTACAACATTAAAATTGGAGAGTTCTATCCACCTGTGGGATAAATAGAATGTAATCAAGGTTTTCAGAGAAGCTAAGGGCTCCTTGTGATAGAATTATTGTCACTTCGAGTATACAAGTTATGCCAGTCTTAGTGTATTGAACATATGCCAAGCTCCAAAAAAAGCACAGAGACCTCTGTCCTCAAAATACCTATCTAATATGTGGGAACTGAAATTATAAAAGTCAAATACAAGGCAAAAAAGGGGTAGTACATACTGCAAATATTGCAGAAGCTCACAGAAGAATAGATACTACTAGGTTGTAGAGAGATAAAATGGTTTTATTGAAAGAAAGGAGTTTATTGGCAATTTCAAATGACAGTAATGTTAGATAGGCCAAGAAGTAGAGGAAAGGGATTTCTGGAAGCAAAAAGGAAGTTGCAAATGGCAGAGTGAAGGAATCACAAAGCATTATTGTGACTGAAATGAATTATCAAAATAATGATCTTTTTTGAATAGTTAGTTTGAAGCATGTTGAAGAAACTCTGAATCTATTCTTTGATGTTGATAGAGCATGGATGATACTACAGATTCTTTTGTTACTAAATCACAGTTAGGAAACAAATATTCAGATAGACAAATTGGGTAGTTTAATGTAGGTTTTGTTGGAAATGAAGAATAAGGAGTGATATAACTGGACTGGTCTGATGGTGAGTTTCCTAAGAACTTGGAAGTGTCACAGCAGTGTGGAGGAGAGGAGATAAGTAGAGGCATATTAAAAGGAAGATCTGGCAATGCATGGATAATATCCTCAAATTCTTAGAAAATGTAGTTTGGCAATGATATGAAGAAAGAATTATACTGGATAGTTATATGAAATTTTCTAAAATGTATGGGTCCCAGAATTATACTTAAGTAATCCCAGTTTTTTTCTTGCCAAAAATATCTTAAGAAAATTATTACATTAACTGTACCTAAGTTTTTCTAAATCTAAAATGAGAATAAAGTTGTTTATGGGGGGATTTGTTACAAGCTAACATGTAAAATGCCCAACAAGTGTCTGACATTTAGTAGGTACTCACAAAAAGTATTAGCTCCAGGGGCTGGTGTTTTAAGCCACTGCCTGGGATACCAACATCCTATATGAGCACTGGTTAGAGTCCCGGCTGCTCCACCTCTTATCCAGCTCCAGGCTAATGCACCTGAGAAAGCAGCAGAAGATGGCCCAACTGGTTGGAGTCTTGCCACGCATGAGGTGGACCCAGCTGGAGCTCTGGATTCCTGGCTTTGACCTGGCCCATTGTGGCCATTTTTGGAAGTGATGCCAGTGGAAGATTACTCTCTTTTCTATCTCTTTCTCTTTCTCTGGTGTGTGTGTGTGTGGGGGGGGTGGGTGTCCTCTTTCTGTAACTTTGTATTTCAAATAAATAAATAATTTTTTAAAAAATATTATATCCATTTCCACTTAAGCAATCCTAAAACACCCCACAGGGAACTGGAAACAAGGAGCTAGAAATCAAGTTCAAGTTTACTAGCCAGACATGCAGTTAGCCACTGTCCACAAAGAGGTGTTAAATGGCTTACTGAATCACAGTGAGCACTTGATAAATACTAGCTGTTGTTATTATTATTGTTAAAAATGGTCAAAATGTGAGAGGAAATCCTGAAGAGAGCAATGTTGTGGCTATGAAGTAGAAAAGGTAAGAGGTAACCTCCAGTATCCTACGTTGCAAAAAATTAGGATAAAGACTGCAAAATCATCTTAACAATTAAAAGTTGTCGGTGGCAAAAGTACCTGAGTTTCCTAATTGCCATCTGTACTCAGGATTCCATTTTAACTTAGTAGTGAAACTGTGATGCTCTTCTAAACACATGGGCTGTTTATGATATGTGAGTTTTTTGGCATTACCAAAAATAACTCTTCAACAGATATTCCAACCTAAAACAGAAGGAACAGTGAATCAGGGTCCTTAAAATAAATGCATCTGGCAAGCTATTTGAACATAGGCAAAAGTAGGAAACTATGAATTAACAAAAAATACAATTCCCTATGATGATTTTTAATAAGCCAAACACCAAGTATTGGCTTTTCCTTGTGTTGTAAAATGAATAAACAGTTTTGCAATGGCCTGAAGGCTTGGATAGAGAGAATAAATAAATTATTGACACATCACGAATAGACAATTCTCCATCCACTGTTGAGCTTTTCATTCTTTGTGGAGCAGATGGTCTAAATAAAGCAGCCAAAAATAACAGGTGGGTTTTATCACATTAAGCCACTGAAAACACTAAGCATCTACAGTTTAAATCATGTTCAAGGTATTAAGCTTAAAACAATTTTTGAAAATAATATTTTATATATGTACAACACCTTTGTCCATCTTAAATGATAAGTCAAAACACATGGACCTCTGTGTATATGAACATGTATTTAGAATCAAGGGAGACAAATTGGAAGAAACAGCTGCTCTGTATAGAAATGGTTTAACGCAAGGCTGTTAAGCCATGTTGATAGACTCTAAGTGACTTGGATAACACCAACTCTTCCGGGACAGACAAAGCTTGGGTCTAAGTCATTGCAGCCATAAATCTGGCAGTCTCATGTGTCCTATACATCTCTATCTACCATATGGAAGGCAACTACAAAGAACTGAAATGCATTATTTTGCTATATTTTGTCCTATGCCAGCTACAGTTAGAATTCAAATTGCAGTCCTGTAACACATATATTGCATTCTAGTTACTTGTCTTGTTATGTGTGTCTCATAAGTCAAGGAATTAAAAAGGGTCTATGAAGCAGAAAGAGATAAAGAGAAATGTATTCCTAGGTCATCGATGGGAGAGATACTGTAGCTGTGTTCAAAGAATGCTGCTTTATCTACAGTATTCCTTTTTAATGAAATGCCTTTGAGGACTAGAGTTTTAAAAAGTGAAAATTAAATCTCCTTAAGTTTCTTCCCACTTTCCCTAGAACATCCATTTTTAACATTTTCAAGAATAGCCTTCAGAATCTGTGTATGTATATCAACATTTAAAGAAATGTTAAAATCATTAACCCTACACCAAATATAAGAATGTTTTACTTTTGTTTTGTAAAACATCTTCATCTTTAATTAATTCAAAATCATAGGCACTTTCCTGAGTATAAAAACCTGAATTATATAGAGAATAGAATCATGTCATTTAAAGTTAACAACTTGCTTGAAAAATAAATTCCTGTTAGCTCATGGACTCCTTTCATCATTATTGCACATAGAGATCTACTTCATGCTATTAAATAGATACCCTTTCTTTAAATATATCCTAATTTATTTAATTATTTCCAAAAGGAAAGATATTTGTTACTTCCAATTGCCACTAAAAGAAAACTCCACTTAATGCCCTTGTTTTTCTGTACATCTATGTACAAAATCATGCAAGTATTTCTATGCAATTTAGTGTTAGAAAAAATTTTATAGATCAGTAACTAAGATTTTGTATTTCATTACTTTTTGGAATAACCATTTTAAAAGTTCTTCAGTTTTCTTTCATTTTCTGTAAACCACAGTATTTTTTCCCTCTTTACATCAACTATTTATTTGTTTAGGGGACTACTATGACTCTTATTCATTCATTATATGCTGGCTACAATTGGGAATCAGTTAATATGAACTTTTGTTGATAGTACATCATCTGTGCCACAGTGCTAGCCCCCAAAATTTACTATTTTATTTTTTATAAGATTTTTAAATTTTATTTATTTGAAAGAGTTATAGAGAGAGGTAGAGATGGATAGAGAAAGAGAGAGAGAGAGAGAGAGAGAGAGAGAGAGAGGTCTTCATTTGCTGGTTCACTCCCCAAATGGTCACAACAGCTGGAGCTGAGCCCATCTGAAGCCAGGAGCCAGGAGCTTCTTCTAGGTCTCCCACATGGATGCAGGAGCCTAAGGACTTGGACCATCTTTTACTGCTTTCCCAGGGCACAGCAGAGAGCTGGATCATAAGTGGAGCAGCTAGGACTCGAAACAGCACCTGTATGGGATGCCAGTGCTTCAGGCTAGGGCTTTAACAGGCTGCACCACAAGCTGGCCCCTAAAACCTATCTTTAATAAGCTCAATGCAAGTATGGCTGTATGTAAAAGAAAAGGACATAGTGGAATTTTAATATTGATGTGTAAGCACTCTTCAAAAGTTAATGAAAATGGCATTAAAATAAGATTATTTTGGTGATAAAACATTTGAAATGCAAAATGGTTTTTCATAATACACATTTTTCATCATTATTTGAAATATCTCATAATTGGTTCAGAGGCAATTTCTGCCTAATTTTAAAACTTGGTACTTGGATAGTTATAATGAGGTTATATAAACAAGGAAAACATAGAAATGAGAAAAATAAGGAATTCAACCCCTGAAGAAGATCATAAACAAGTGGAAGGTAAGATAACTTTTCTATATGTAGAATATAGAGGTAATATCTAGTTATGGGTGTTAATGAGCTACCTCAAGCCTTGTCTCCCAAGAATCAAATAGAAATAGAAATAGACACAAGGGAAGCAGGTAGGAACAGACTAGAACTAGCATCCAAGCAGGACAGGCTCATATCAGAGGACACAACAAAGAAGATTTGGAACACAGAGTTTCTTCAAGTTCTTAGTGCAAATTCTGACTTTTCAGGCTATTTTTATATGGGCTTTGGACTCAGTGATTCAAATGTAGGTAGGGAAAGAGAATTGTCCCCCTATAGTGAGCAGTTGAGGGGGACAGGAATCACATTACTCCACAGCACAGAGGAAGAGCCAGACCTGGAACAGCCCTCTTGATTCACCCAACTGATCTCTTCTTAGCTGGAACTGCATTGTCTAGACCCACAGAATACTTTTCTCGTAAGTAATATCAGCACTAACGCTAAATATTTACTGAGGATTGTCTGTTTGGGTTTTTCTAGTCTAGACTATGTGATGGTTTTGTAGATTCACACACAGATGCACACTTATACATAGTATAATGAAAATGACTGAGGAAGGGGCTAAGTTCTTTTGATCTACATAATTTGCATTCTACAAACTTGAAGCCTGTTGAAGCTAGCTATTCTTGACCAGTCAAGCTGGGTTCTCAAGGATTATTTTGGTTCATTTGAGTTTGTGTTATACTTTTTCTGTGTTTATACTTTCTCCACATGTTTAAGAAAATTATTGTTTTTTTTTTTATTTTTTGTGATTGGCTTATTTCACTTAAAATAATGTCTTCCAGGTTCATCTATGGTGTTATATATGGCAGGATTTCCTTCTCTATTAAGATTGAATAATATTTCACTGTATACATATACTGTGCAATATATATAGTACCTAAGATAGTCCAACTTGTAGAAGCAGAGTGGAATGGTAGGTGCCAGAGTATGGGGATATTAGCTTATGGGGATATGCAATTATGGGGAGTTGTTCAATGGGAATAATGATTTAGATATGCATATGGAAACATCTAGAGATCTGCTGCAAAGAATTATGCTTATAGGTAATAAAACAGCATCATGGACTATGGATTTTTTGAGTATAGTCCTTGGTAAGTATACTTACCATAAAGAAAATAAACAACAACAAAGCACAAAGTTATAAAAGGAAAATTTTTGAGGTGAAAGATATGTTTATTACTTCAATTGTTTGATGGAGATAGATATAGACATATTCTAAGCAATTAAATATGATACAATACATATTTAGTTTTTATACATCAATTATATCTCAATAAAATTGGTAATAAAATAATAAAGCAATCTGTCCTTATGCATAATCATGTATTTATAAAAAGAAAAGGAAATGATTGGTAGCGAGAAAGGCAGAAATGGAGACATCACTGAACCTTGGAAAGGTAACTACTTTTCCCACATCAGATTTGACTAAGCTCATATCCACAGAGGTCTCACCACTGCCACGTGCTGACACTGGCATTTCATCCCTTTTTTGTATGTACGTTGAGGCAGGTGTATTTCCTATTTATTGTACCTCTAGTGCAAGTCTCTCCGACAAACTTGTGCTTTCCACTGACCACTCATATCTCCCTACTATTGAATACCCTGGGAGGCACTGGTGATGGCTTAAGTAGTTTGCTTCCTGCTACCAACATGGGAGACCAGAGAGTATTCCTGGGTCCCAGACTTAGGACCAGCTCTGCCTCAGCTCTTGTGTCATTTGGGGAGTGAAACAATGAATGGGAGTGCTGTTGGTCTGTCTCGGCCTCTCTTTTTCTCAAACAAACAACATGCTTTAGAAAAACATCAACCCTTCACCTTTTGTACCACAATGTGCAGTACCTTCACATTCTCACATATATTAACAGTGCTTCCTCTGTAGCTTCCTTTCTTTTTTTTTTTTCTTTCTCTTCCTCCATCTTTCCTTTCATGGTGGTTGAACATGTACTAGATAGTAAGATAACCTGGATTCAGTCTTGTCTTAAGCTATTCAACAGAAGTGAAATTTTTGATAATTATGTTTCTGAGCTTGTTTCCCTAGTAGGAAAGGTAAAAAGTTGTTCTTTCTGGGTGAGAATTATATGCGATAATGCACATCAAATGGTTGGCACAGTATCTGGCACAAATTAGCATTCAAACATTAGTCATGTCATTTGTTATTGTTGTTAACATTAAGAACCACTGTTTCCTAGACATTGTGAAAATTACTGAAATACAGAGTTAAATATTTAATAAATAAAATAAAGTCCTTTGAGAAATGTAAAATCTGCTCAATGTTTTCATCCAGATTTTATTCCTATGCTGTTGCAAATACCTGGAAAGGCTCCTAGCCACTTTCTTATCCGCAAAAAACTTCATTTCTTTAAATTTATTTGAGAGGAAGAGTGAGAGGAAGAGAAACAGACATATACACACATGCACAACACACACAAAAAGAGAGATACCTCTCACCTGCTGCTTCACTCCTCAAATGCCTACAATGGTCAGTCAGGT